CCGGCCCCCTGCCCACCAGTGCCATCCATCCTTCTCCAGCAGGAGATGCTCTGCTCCTGTGGAGGGAAGGATGGGATGCCAGGGCTTTACCTTGGGCTGCAGCCATCCGGGCAGGTAGGTATTCAGCCTTTGCCACGCAGGGATTGTCCTGGCTGGAAAGCAGAGCTGTGTCCCTTTTGTCTTGGAGGCTGTTGCTGCAATGATGAGCAGGAGGAACCGTGGGATGGGATGGGATGGGATGGGATGGGATGGGATGGGATGGGATGGGATGGGATGGGATGGGATGGGATGGGATGGGATGGGATGGGATGGGATGGGATGGGATGGGATGGGATGGGATGGGATGGGATGGGATGGGATGCCCACCAGGTTTGCCTGGCTCAGATCCTCAGTAGTGATTCCCGGTGTGCTGCCGGCTCCATTCCCGCTGTTTCCCTGCACATCTGGAGCAGGCAGTGGAGGTCTATTACTGCTCCCACGCCTCGGCACAGGCGCTGGCACCTGCATCTCCCCAGCGCGGCCCCATGGCATCTTTCCCACTCCTGGACAGCCCTGGATACACTCAATCGTGGGGCCCCAGGGTCCCCACAGCTGCTGAGGAGGAGGAGGGAGCTGTGATGCTCTGGGAACGAACACACATCTTTGCACTCCTGTGTGGTGGGAGGGGGGTGGGCAGCTTAGAGGGATCTTACAGGCTCATCTCCTTCACTGTCACCATCTGCCCTGGTGGCATCCACGCTCTGTCTGCTCTGAAAGAGCTTTTAAGGAAGGTATGAGTAGTAAGATCTGTGGTGCTGGTAAATTGGTGCTTTTAAAATGAATGGCGAGGAGAGTTTTGTTCCCACTGGGATATCCCCAGCTGAGCTTCCAGGCAATGACTTCTGCAGGTAGAAATGGTCAGGATGCCCTTAAAAGCAGTGGAAAGACAGCCCTAGCCTGGGGAGCTGGCCTGCTTCTCCTGGCTCACTGCCTGCTGTGTGCACATTGCACATTCAGGTATGTGTTTGCTGCCAGCTGGATGAAGGTCTGGGGTCTCTGGGTGGCTGATGGGTACCTGACAGCAGTCGGTACCATTGCTTTCCAGTGGTATGTTTCAAACCTGACTCCTCCTCTTGAGGATTGCCTCTTTTTTCCCTCAGGCTGGTGCAAAATCTTCCTTACCCAGGCTGCAAATCCTGCACCCCCCATCCCTGTGGTCTTGTTGTGTCCCTAAGGTGCTGCTGACAGCCCTTCCCACTCCTTTTGCCCTGGGCCACCTCTGAAAGGTGGCTTTGCTTTCGCTACCTGAAAGCCAGTATTTGGGCTGCATCTTCCTCTGGGCATGAAGCAGGAGAGCTGCAGGTCAGGGACCCACGCTGGATTGACCCATGATGAGGCAAGAGGGGTTCGAACTGGGTGCCCCAGCTTCTCCTCTCCTCAAACAGGTTTTGGCCTCTCTCTTAGGGTTTGGTTGCAGCTCCAGCCGTGGGAATCTGGGTAGGATCCTGTGGTGGCACCTTCAGAGGGATTTCACGGGTTAGATCCCGGTGCAGGATGCCGAGGCTGGTGGTGGGACACCTGGATTGACTTTCACCTTCAGCTCGGGAAAACCATGGCACTTCCCAGCACCGGGATGCTTTCTTCCACCCAGGGTGGAAGAACAAGCCCAGGTCCCCATCGTTGTGCTGAGCTTGTCCCTCTTGCAGGCGGGAGGTGGTACAAGCGGCACCTGACGTACCGGGTGGTGAACTGGCCCCCGTACCTGCCGCAACACGAGGTGCGCCGCGCCGTCAGAGCCGCCTTCGAGCTCTGGAGCAACGTGTCCTCACTGGTGTTCTGGGAGGTGCGGGATGGCCCGGCTGACATCCGCCTCACTTTCTTCCATGGGGACCACAACGATGGGCTCAACAACGCCTTCGATGGACCAGGTGCTGGTCGCTTACCCCTCGTAAGCTTCTCTTTTACAACATGGGCTCTTCCCCGGCGGGGAGGAGGGCTGGGGGGTGGAGGCAAGGCTCTGCCCCAGCAATCCCTCTATAACCCAGTTTGCACCAGTTTGCTTTTTGATTTGGGGTCCTCGCTCCCAGCTCTGCAACTGAGGCTTGCCAGCAAGGCAGCTGAGATGCTCGTTATAGGATCATGTCCTCCCCATCCTGACAGCATCCTCCAGACCTGAGCTCATTCCTTCCAGCTGAGCTTTTCTGCTTACCCACCATCAGACAAGCCTAGGGTTTCCCTCCTCCTGAGCCTTTGCCAACATGGGTCATCGTGGTGGCTTCAATCCCTGGCCCAAGCCCAGCAAGAAACCAAATACATGAACCGCAGAGCATGCAATTGGTTTGGGTTGGATGTGCTGCTGGAAACAGTCATGGGAAGCTGCTGTGCTCCCAAAGACATAAAACTGACGCACATTTAAGCAACACAGAGCTGCACGTGTCCTGCTGCCCCTGTTTGTGGCTGAGGGCCCCTCCTGCCCCATGGTCCCTGATGGCTCTCGTGTCCGCAGGAGGTGCCCTGGCTCACGCTTTCTTCCCCCGGCGCGGTGAAGCCCACTTCGACAGCGCCGAGCGCTGGTCCCTGCACAGCGGCAAAGGGCGCAACCTCTTCATCGTGGTGGCACATGAGGTTGGGCACACGCTGGGGCTGGAGCACTCCCCCGTCAAGAGCGCCCTGATGTCTCCCTACTACAAGAAGCTCAGCAAGGATTTTGTCCTCAGCTGGGATGACATCTTGGCTGTGCAGAACTTGTACGGTGAGCATGGGTTCCCTGAGCATCCCTGTGGTGCAGAGCGAGGAGCGGGGATGGGAACAAGGGGAGGGGGCTACATGCAAGCAGCATGGTGGGGATGGGCCTCATCCCTTTGCAGCTGGGGAGGAAGATGCAGTAGGGCGTGTGGGGTGGGTACCAGCTCCGCCAGGGCACGGAAGGTTTGGACTTGCTATGTGCTTGTTTGCAGCCAGGGAAAGGCTGGTGCGTGTGTTTTGGGGGTAATAAGGGGTCTTTCCCATCACTGTATAGAGAGGGACAGGAACAGAGAGTGGGGCAAAGGAGTGTTTGGAGCCCTGGAACAGTTCCACAGCCTTGGGCTCATGTAGTGCTTTGGGGAAAACCATTTCCCTGCCCCTTCGCACAACTCACACCCCTTGCTCCGTCCCAGGGAAGCCCTCCAAGGGCTTGGCCATCCAGCTCCCAGGGAAGGTCTTCACTCACTTCCAGGACTGGAGCGCAGATCCTTACGATGGGGACCGGCAGCAGAGGAGCCTCAGCGCCTATTACTGCCATTCCTTCTTCGATGCCATAACTGCTGGTGAGTGTTGGATGGTGCAACCCTCTCCCAAAACATCCACCCCTACCCCTTGCCCCAGCTTGCCCCTGGCCCCTTGCTCTGACGAGGTACAGTGATGGGAAAGGCGGGTTTGGCTGATCCTTTACCTGCTCCTGGGACTGGTGGCATCGTTGGTGCACATCACTGCCAAAGAGCAGAGAGCATCGTGAGGACGCAGCAATGGCTTGGTGTGTTAAGGGCAGGGAAAACATCCTAAAACTTGGCCATGGCAAGGCTTACTCTCTGCAGGAGCCCAGCTGTGAAAGACAAGCCTTGAGCAGGAGCCGTGCTCAGCTTTTATCTTCTCCAGGCTGAGGTGGAGACAATGAATTGTGTAAGCTGGGAGCGTGGCTGGAAAGGCAGAATGGAGCATCCATAACCCGAGTGTCCCCAAAGCACAGCATGGGGAGGAGACGGGAGCTGGTGCATGGGAGGTGGGAAGAGGTTTCTCACCCGGGATATCCTCACTCCTCCTCCCTCTGCCTTGCAGACGCGGAGCACAACATCTACATCTTCAAGGGCAACCACTACTGGATGGTGCCAGTGAATGGCAACACCAGCGACCCACAGCCCCTGCAGACGCGCTGGCCTGGCCTCCCTGCTGGTATCGATGCCTCTGCCTGGTCCCAGCGCAGCGGCAAGTTCTACTTCTTCAAAGGTAGGTGAGCTCGGAGAGCTCCTGCCTCTGAGCTGGCTGTCCGGGTCTGCCAGAGCACCTTCTGCCCATGTCCCCATTGCAGTGTCCGTGGTGTGCAGAACCCCATAGGAGCCCTGTGCTTGGCCTTAGGCTGTGTCACCCCAGCAGCCTTGTGCCTCAGTTTCCCCAGCGCTCACTGGTGTTTAGCAACAAAACCAGATGCATCAAACCCTTTGGGGTCTCAGGGAGAAAATGTCCCCCATAAAACATGGACAGAGGGGAGCTGAGCGAGGTGTTTTCATGGTGCACATGGTTCCCTGTGTCATGCTAGGCACTGAGCTGCTGTGAGAGCTGAAATGCCATCCACAAGCTGCCCGGGTAGAGGAAGGTCAAACCAGGCAGCCCATCTGCTGGGTCAGCCACAGCTTTTAATGGAAACCAGTTACTGGCTTGTCAGAAAGGGGGCTTTGTTGCTGTGGCTGGGTGGGAGCCAAAAGCC